CCCCAAAACCCCAAAACCCCAAAACCCCAGATTTAAATTTCAATATAAATTTGAAATCTTAAAAATTATTCAGTATAAATTCATGATTAAATTGGCAGCTATCATTAACTCATTAGTTAGATTCAAAAGGTTTTCTGAATACATTTTCTCTATCAAAAATACTCTTCTTCAATTTCCCTTTCTTTTTTTCATTCTCTTCATCATCCTCGTCTTCATCTTCACCATTCCTCTTTCTTTTCTTGCTAGTCATATCCATCAAATGGGCTAAAGTATATAAATAAATGTAAAAGACTTACTATGCTCGATATCACCTGATTTGGCTGGTTTCCATGCTTCAAGAGGCTTCATATTTTTAAGTTTAACAGTTTATGATACAATAACACCATTAAGATTCTTCATTTTAGTCTCAGTTGGTATTAAATCAAGCTCAATGGGATTGTGAGCATATGGGCATTTTCTTTCCTTGAAGAGGTGGCATTTTTCTTATCTCAGGATTCTTTCACACATTTTGCTACCAGGAGCCATCTTTTCAAGTTCAAATTCAGAATGAGCATGAGGGCACTTTGGCTATTTGGCTAGAGGACAGAACTTCTTTTCAAGTAAAACTGGGCACATCTTGGTTTTCTTTGGTTTGAATTTTACCGTACCTTCATTATTATCTCCTTTATCTGGTGATCTCTCTGGAGAATTCTATCCTCCACTTCCAAAAGCTTCCATCATATCAGCTTCTTCATCAAGTTTTTCTACTTGCTTTTTCATTTTCTTTATGGTATTCTGCTTGTCCTCGATAGCAGATTCAAAAAGAAGATAGTAATCCTCAATCTACTTATTGAGATATGCATGCTTAGAAAATTCCTCACCTTTCATGGGTGAAACCTATTCAATATACAGCTTAAGAGTGGCTAATGAAACTGCACCACTTAGATCAAGCTTTTTAAGGAATTTTTCATCAACCTTAGTAGGATCAATAGTCTCAATGGGAACTGGCAACTCAAATCCATCATCAAGTCCAAGTTTGAATCTCCATCTCTTTTCTATAACTTTTTACTTTTGCTATTCAATTTCCTACTGATCTTGAATGATCTTAACAGCCTTTGCTAATTCATCAAAAGCATCATTAAATCTTCCATAAAAATGAAGAACACAAGCTTTCTTTAGTAGACCAAATTTCTTCGTATAGTTATTGTCCAAGTCTAGTGCTTGCATAATTGAATGCATTTCCTTATTATTTTCCTTGAATTCCTTGGTTTCTCTTCTCTCAATGCTTCTCATCAAACTATTTTTTCTATTCTTATCATTGAATTTCTTGCTCTCTTCATCAGCCATTTCTTTATATCTGCAAAGATTACATGGTCCTCCTATGTGCTTGCCAGATTTTTAAGAGCAGCCATTACAATCAAAGAGACCTCCTGTTGGTCTGAAAACTTATCTTGGCTTTTCTTCATCCATTCTCTGGTTAATACTTTTAATGGTCTAATAAGATGCTGCAAGTTTAGTTGTGATTGATTCGGGGAATCTTAATTCCATTGGATGATGAGCAAACGGGCACTCCTCTCCAAATTAAGTGACACTTTTTATGTTCGAAGAAGGCCATCTTGGCTTCATCACCTTTGAACATTTATCTTTCAATGGACACATAATACTTTTGAATAGGATTTTTTCATTTCCAGTCATATCCATTCTGGTCTGGGATTTCTTGTAATGACTGAAGCTTTTCATGAGTTTCTTAGATTTATTTTGCTCTCTTTCAATTTTATTTATTTACTTTTCTGCATCTGCCTTTCTTTTCTCCAATGTAACTATCAAATCATAAGCTTCTCTAAGAATTGGAATAAGCTTTTTATTTTCAAAATCCTCTTAAGGCTTTTTCTTTTACGATTCAGGAGCCTCCTTATGAATTCTATTTCTAAAGTCTACTCCTCCCTTCTTCTATCTATCTTACTCTTCTTTTTTAAGCCTCTCCTCTCTCTTTTTTTTCATTAACTCACCGAAGAATTTCTTCATATCCTATGGGTTGAAATGCATTTTTAATGAGTCTATGTTAAAGCCCTCGCATAATCCATTCATTGCCTCTTCATATTTTCCTTATGAGTATTTGAGTTTTGATCTCTTAAGAACACCAGCTTTGTATACTTCTGGGTGAGAAGTTTCAAAGTTCTTTCCTAGCTTGTTAAAGTAGGCTTCTGGATCAGGCTCTGACAAAAATCCTTCCCTAGCCAAATTAGGATTAGCCTGAAGTGCAGTATCGATGTATTTACTCATTGATCCAGCCTCTGGTTCAAAAGTGCAATTCTCAAGTTCAGAGCTCAGCATATAAACCTTTTTCAATGCTTCTTTGAAATCTTTTCTTCTCCAAACCCTTGATCTATAGGGCAATGGTTCTTTCTGTTTTCTTTTCATTTAATGAGTCCTCAGCAATACTCTCTTATTTAAAGTTACATGTGGACAATCTTCAGGGCACCCGAAATCATGAACATGACATCTCTTACCACCAGGTAGCATAAATGTTGGAGGCGCCTGTCTAACTCTCTTAAATCCTCCTTTTTTATTCTTTACATAGCTCTTGACCAAAGAGAAGAAGTATTTCTTGAAAGATCTTGGATATGATTTCTTATATGTCTCAGAATCTTCTTTCTATCCATAACCATAATGAGGGTATCTTTTGTTAATCAATTTAGAAAATCTATATTTCGCCTAATGGTAAGTGCTAGACATAAACTGTCTCAGTGATTCTTCTTATTTATCCGATCTTTTTTTCATCATCTCAAGATATGTCTCAACTCTATCTCTCACAAATTTTTCAAATTAATATTCCTCACTTCTTTGTTGCCTTATTTCATTATTTAGCATGTAAAGATCATTTTCATCTAATCTTTTAAAAGTATTTAGAAGTTCTTTACCCTCTCCAAGTTCTTTTACTTCTAAACCAGTCTTACCCCTAAACTTGCATTTATATTCCTCTTCTTCATCTATTTTATCATATTCTTCAGGATATTTGAATGGGCGATATTCTTTGACCTCTTCTTTTATTAATCTTTACAGTACAATATCGTGGGAGAATTTTTTTTGTAGCTAAATTAATATCTTTTTTCTTTACTACTAATCTTTGTGCTGAGCTAGTTCATTCAATCTTTTTTTCCCAGTCTTATGGCTTAATTCTTCTTTAAGTCTTTTATACTTCTCCTCTCCAAAAACCTTTTCCATGATTTTTTCATCTTGCTTTTTTCTTTTTTTGTCCAATTTAGAAGAAATTAAACTCATTTTCTATAATTCATCTTCCTTATTTAAGTCATTGTAAGCTAAAATCCATTCTTCAACTGAGATTTCTAAGTATTCTCTCTTGAAATCAGGATCTATGTCAAATATTTTTCTCAACTACTTAACAAGCTCGTAATCACTTATTTCCTTTTTTCTTTTTTTCACCTCTTTCCAATCAATAAAAACTAGAAGTCTATCTCTTTTCTTGACTTATTAATAAAAGCCAAAGAGACTAATTCCCTTGTATTTTCCATTTTTATTACACTCTGAATAGTATAGCTGAATTCTTTTAATCAATTTTTGTGGACCAAAAAATCCATTAATTATCTCTAGTACTTCAGATTCATTACCTCCCCAAGTAATATCTTTCGCAGATTTGTTTTATTCATTCTTATACATTTAAAAGAGTTCAATTGGATCATTAGTAAGATTTTCTGATCGAACAAATTTGAAAAATCTCTAAAGAAATTCCATTTCCTTTTCCAACTTCTTATTAATTCGTTCTTTTTCCTTATCAAGTTCTTCATTTCCTAAAATAGGTTTTTGTGGCTCATTCTTAACTTCATCAATACTATCAATTGGATTTATTGATTGATTTGTTTTTATTTTATGCCAATTTTTAGCAGCTTGCTTATCTTCAACTTTGTTTTAATCATCTAGTTACCTTATTTTAAAATTGGCAAGATCCACATAATATTGCTGTACCATCTTAAAAATTGCTTTTTCTTCATCTTCCTTAATCTCTTTTTCAATAATTCTTCTTCTTTCTTCTTACATTCTAAGTTCGTTTCCTTTTCTTTGAATTTCCTCATCCTCTAAGTCTTTTTATAGAGTATATACGACATCCATCTCATAAAGCATCTTGTATTATTCCTCTAAATTTCCACTTACAATAGATACATTATTGTTAGTTGCTTTATTGCTGTCAATGTTCAAGTTCTCTTTGAAAGTTTAGCCTTTAAAACTTATGCCAAACTTACTTCCATGCAGAAGATTTTCAGTTTCTTTATAAGACCTATTTTTACTTTCTCTCAGTTAAGCGTAGACTGATGATACATGACTTTTCCAATATTTATGGAGTTCTTTTTAAGTCCTGTTATATGTGCCAAATTTTTTGTAGTGCTTTTCGCATAAAAAGTCTGTTAAGCCAGGAATCCTCTAAGGTCTACGATCAAAAGCTTTTACTGACTCTTCAAGTTTCATTGATTAACTCACTACATCTGAAAGATCATGCTTCATTGTATTAAGATTTGGAAGATTTGAATATGAACCTGAATTCAATGTTTGAATTTTCTTTTTCTAGCCAGAACTTTAAACACCAAGAGTCTATTTATTCTCATCAATTACCTGCAATTAAGCAGACTTTTGATGCTAGATGTGAGATTAAATTTTATGAGTATTGAATTGAACACTAGTAGATGATTTCATCATAGGCTCAGTTTTCCTAATGTTTTATTCTTATAGTATATATTCGTTCACATTTCTCGAAGAGTATTCTAAAGATTAATCATGACTTGCCCTCGATATTTGAGAATCGAAAACTTGATCCATATATCTCTGAGTGGCAGAGTTATTAAGATCATTGATATTTTCTAATCTTGATTGATTCCCATGAGCGGAAATGTTGATAACTTAGCGACCAGTGCTTGGTCCGCTATTCTTATTATCCATAATTTTATTCTTTCAATTTATTTCAAATTAAATTAAGATTTCAAATTAATCACTGTTAAAATCAGCTTAATAAGCAACCCATTAACTTTTAATTCTAATGAAATACTTAAGGGACAGAAAATCCTGACTAAATTCAGATTGAGAGAAAGCCTGCTTAGATATGCATACATACTAGAGCCAAGTAAGCTCTGCCATTAAAGCATATGGGAAGGTCTGAGGCGCCTCTTAGTAGAGATCAAAAGGAGGAGACTCTTGGAGAAACAAACAGAAAACACTCTCTGTCTGTCGGTCTAAGATACTCACGCAAGTGAGAGGAGACTTTGGGCAGATGGGGAGATGAGAAGTTTCACGGCGTTGATTCTAAGTCCAATAAGCAAGGCCTTGCGGTAATCTCTGTTAAAGACATTACTTGCAAGGTAACTCAATTCAGACTACTCTTCTTTCAATCTCACCTGGAAAGCTTTTATTGTAATGATAGAATATTTGCATGCATAAATTTATCAGCATGCAAAACAATGATTATTGTTAATTTCACAAAACATTCTAATGCAAAAATTTTTAATTCATGGGGTTTTGGGGTTTTGGGGTTTTGGGG